TATTTGAGGATGTAAATTAAATATAAATTTATATATAAAACAATGATATAAATATCGCGTAAAGATTAAAAAGTTGGAATAAGTTTTATAACATTATAAAAGACATATTATATAATTCATTCAGAATAAATATTATCTTTAACTACTGCATTCAGAGTCAATATTCTACACAGACTAATACCCATTCTACAGGTTAATTCCCCCCAATACCGACAAATAGAAAGACCATAACATTCTCAGTGTAAGACCACCTCTCTTGTATTATTATGCATTATTTTATGAAACCTAATATATTATACATTATAAATTTAAGCCAGTAGCGTCACTAGGAGGAAAGCGCAGGAGGTCGATTTAGCCTTCTGAAAAATTTGTAGTGCCACCTGTAAATTTTGAAAATATTTTTTTATACCTTAAAGATGAATTTAAAAATGTTAGTTAAAAAAATATAATCTTGGAGATAATTAAAAAAAATTTTTTGAGCCCCCTGAGATTGTAAAGGCTAGTGACGCCCCTGATTTAATGTAGCAGCCAATGACATGTATATGTCATTGATAGCAACGCAAGGAATTTTTTGACATAAAAAATAATTATCTGAATTTTTTTTTTATGGAATAACATTTAATATAAGTTTAGATAGGCCAAGATTCAAATTAAATTTGATGCCTTAGTCGAAGCTTTTCATAATATGACTCAGGAGAGTCGCTAGCCTTTACAATCTCAGGGGGCTCAACTAAAAAAATTTTTATGGGGGCGAAGCCCCCATACTCCCCATTTGCGGGCCTTCTGCCCGCTTTTGCCCGGCCTTCGGCCGGGTTTTATATAAATATATTTTACTTTTTAAAAATTTATTAACTCTGAATTATTTTGAATTTCATATTTTGTCATTTATTAAATTAAGCATACAAAATAAACTGGCATATAAATAATTAAAACTGACATTTCTAAAAATATTATTTTTTAATACAAAATCTATTTATTACAGTATAAAATATTTTCGATTGCTGATATAAAAAAATTTTGCGTCTAAAGAATAACAAGTGATAAAAAAGGTTAATTAATTCATACATGTGTCTCAATTGATAATGGTTTTTAAAAACTATATATTATAAAATTAGCATTGACAAAAGGTCAAGAAACTAATATAACACTCTGTTACCATTTTTAGACAATGTTTTATAGAATGGACTAATAATGAAAAATTTATAAGCCTAACCAAATAACAATTCTTGGAGAAGAGAATATAAACGACCAATCCCAATCATAAAACTATATGGTGGTTAGAGCTTCCTCTTAAATGACTTGATGGAAGCTAGATAAGTAATTGAGAAAAAAATTGTGAGATATTAAATTTTTAAAAGATTATCTTCCATTTTTAATGATATATAAACACTACACGATTGACCATTATTGCATATTAAATATACAATAATATGCTCTCAGCAGCTGTAATAATAATCTAAAATTACATAGCCACACAAATAATAGATGCTGGTTAATTTGCAGTAATAGCCATGACATTCACTATATTAACTTATATCAGAATTTATTATGCTAGATAAATTGATAAAACAAAAACACTAAAAATCTTTAGAAGAAATTATGCAAATGTATTGAAGCCTTAAGTTATTTACAAGGCAGGGATGCCATATTAGAAATGAAACATTTTGTAACTATAAAATAAGAACCAGAGTGATATCATGAAAGCAATTTAGATTTGATATATTATTGTCGCACCACCTCTAGTTGGTATATTAAAACTTAAATTAGTAGTAGTTTGTAATAATATCCTAAATATACTAGTATTAAAAATTTAACTCAAAACTCTTTTTCAAATAAGAAAAAAATAGCTTTCCTAAAAACCCTAAAAAAGAGAAGAAAAGTTTTCTAATTTATTACATCCATTCTGGGATAAATAATAAGATGTTAAATTTTTAAAAATATATCTAAATATATAGATGGCGATAAATATCTAAAAGCAATTTATTACTTATATTTAATATCTAAAGCATTTATTAGTAAAGTTTATTAAAATATTAACTGTAATATATTATATAACTGTCAAATACGTCTGTAAAAGTGACATTTAACCTAATCTTTTATATCCAATTATATTTAATAGAGGATTATAAACTATATGTTTACTTACTTTTTATATAATATAGTTGATTAGTGATTTTGAACTCGGCAATTACAATATTAAATTTGGTAATTTTGAATTAATATTTATTTAATAAGGGTTATATAATAATTTAATTAATAAAAATCAATAAAGCTTCAACTGTTACTGCTAAATTAATATTTAGTGAGTGATATTAATATTCTATTTTTAACAGAGAATTTGATTGTAAGCTGGCATAGTGAAAATATAATTTATAAGTATTAATCTATAATAATTAAAATAGCATCCATTAAAAATAAATTAGATAGACTTACTAATTTTTAAATTAATTAAATCTATATATTACTTAATAGAATTATAAAAGAAATCATTCAGTGGGTAAGCAAAAAATTTATTTTTAGTTCAAGAAGATATTCAAATTTTTCAGGGGGCTCGAGCCTCTGCGCGCCCACCTTAGCGACGCCACTTATATGGCTTAATAAATCTATAGAGCACTTTTCAGATTTGGCATTGTTAATTATTGTATAACCCTTTCGTGCCCAGCGAGATCATTTGTCATCATAATTTTTAATCAATTAATTTTTATATTTAAAAAACGAATAGTTGCTATTTAGACACATTAATTTACAAAACAATATTTATTCTTTCATATTTTATCATTAACCTGTCAAAATCATTATTTTATTATATCAGAATATAAGTTCAAAGTTAGGTATTTTAGGCGCCAAAATTTTTACACTTTTACATCGATTATCATTCTATATAAATATATATAAATCAAAGGTAAATAATATTTTTATGATAGATTATTACTATTATTTCATGTTAATTAACAATAACTATTTTTTATATGATTTTTTAAAGAAAATCCAAATTGGTAACATTGGGATTTTCTTATGTAATTTTTTCCATAAATTTTTTAAAATTAAATATTGAAAATATGATATAGTAAGAATTGAATATAGGCTATTTTCCATTTAGCAAGCCACTATAATATTTGCAAAAATATAAGAAAGTGAAAATTTTATTTTATATTTTTTTAAAAATTTTATAAATAAATTTTAGATGACCTCAACATGTATTATACCAGAGGGAGATATATCTGATGTAGATATTGAGAAGGGATGATGACTTTGAAAATGCCACAGTAGTTGATCTAAATATGACCTATGATATTTTACCAGATATTGGGTTGGAACTGGAAATTTATGATAATGATATTATCCCAAGTAATAGAAAAACCCTATGACGAAATAAGGATTTATATAAATATAATACAGAATTTAAACAAGAATTTTTGCCTCCACCTGATAAGGAAATTTCGCCTTACAAATATTTTAAAAAATTTATAGACGATGATATTATTAACAATTTAGTAGAGCAAACGAATATTTATTCTTTTCAATTATCTGGCAAATCAACAAAAACAAATAGTAGTGAAATTGAAAAATTTCTCGGAATTCACCTTTATACGGGCATTGTTAAATTGCCATCAATAAGGCAATATTGGGCCATAGAGACAGTGATTCCTCAAATTTCTCAATGCATGACAAGAAACAGATTCTTGGAATTGAGAAAATAATTTCATATTAATGATAATAATAATATAATCCTTAGGGGCCAGCCTAATTACGATAAACTTTTCAAACTACTAACATTTATTAGTCCATTAAAAATGAACATGAAAAAGATTCAATTAGAGGAAAAATTATCAATTGATGAAATGATAGTCCCTTTCAAAGGGCGATGTGAATTTAAATAATATATTAGCTCAAATGGGGAATTAAAATTTTCGCTTTATGTGGATCATCTGGAATGCTATATGATTTCAAAATATATTTTGGGAAATGCACAAATATAAAAAAACTTTGATAGGAATTAGTGGAAATATTATTATACGACTATTAGAAACTGTTCCCCCACATAAAAATCATAAAATTTACATGGATAACCTTTTTTTCTTCATATAATTTAGCAGTTGCGCTCAAAGATAATGGCTTTATCATGTCGGGGACCATTAGATCTAATCGATTATTAGGATGCCATCTGGTTGATGATAAAATCTTAAAGAAAAAAGGAAGAGGGTCCCTTGATTATAAAGTGGATTCTAATAATAATATTATAATTTGCAAATGGTTTGATAACAAATTGGTTATCACGATATCATCATTTATGGGTATAAATTCCACATCACGAAAGAAAAGATGGTCGGTATCTGAAAAATCTTATTAATGTCGAAATTCCGGCTATAATTCAAGATTATAATGCTGGTATGGGCGGAGTGGATCTCCATGATATGTTAATTGAACTATAAAGAATGACATAAAATGGAAGCGCTTTTACATGTGAATTTTCTTTCATTTATTAGATTCCTGTATGGTGAATTCGTGGTTACTCTATAGACGCCACATCAAACAGAAAGATGATAAATATATATCTCTTTTAGCGTTAAAAGCTCGGATAACTAAAGGATTAATGATGGTTGGAAAGGCAAATTGTGGAAAAGAAGGTAAACATAATTTGAAGATTGAAAAAAAAAGAAAGAAATTGAATAGTTTTCATCCAATCCCAGATATTAGATTCGATAAAATAGGGCATTGGCCCTCGGCGGCTAACAGACAAAGATGCAAGAATTGCAAAATGGTTATACCAGATTTGAATGTTTAAAATGTAAAATATCTTTATGTTTAAATAAAAATCGCAATTGTTTTATTTCTTATCATTCAAAATAAATTGTATATTTTTTTACATATGAATATCCCAATTATGACAATTGGTAACATTTTATAATTCTATATATATACACTTTTTAAAATAAAAAACGTTGAAAATATGTTATTTACGTCTTATTTAACTCAGTTTTAGAAGAAAAAATTTTTTTGTTCACGGGAAATATGTCGGGCGCGAAAGGGATGGTAGCATAATTTTATTGACAAATGTCAGATGTAATCTATAGGCAGTTATGGGTTTCACCAGTAGGATAAGATGGTAATTTATAAAATATTTATCATAAATAAAGCTGGAAGCTTGATTTATAATGTTGAAAACGAAGAGATATATTCACATGTAGAAAATATATATAATTTCCCCTTAAATCTAATATTAAAAACAAATACTGACTCAATAACGGTCGAATTTGGTGATAAAGATTTGGTCAAAAGTAATTAAACATAATTTTATAAATTATATTTATAATAAGGTGGTTATGTCCTATCTGAAATTAATGGTAGGGCTATCAAATTAATTTATACCAATAACCAAAGTGTTCTTGATTATCTAAAAGACAAAGCACATTATCCTGTTAGATTAAAATTCTCTTCCCCAAGATTAAAAGCCAATGACAAGATAATGTTGGCTAGTATGTTTCATTCGTAATAATGTTATTGAAATATTTAGGCTTATTATTTAATAGTCTGTATGCAATAATATCTCAATTATCTCCAGAAAATAATTGTAAAGGTATAGAATCAATTGAAACAGATATATATAAATTGTGCTGCTTTCAAACCCTTACAAGTAAAATATAGAATAGGCTTACCTAATTTTATTTCCTAGGCACAAAATTTTTACTTATAGTTGATAACAAACAAAATTGCACTGATTTATTATTGAATAAATTATATGAACTTTATGCAGATTATGTGCTTAAAAACCCATTCTATTCTCTTGAAATGCCTATAAGGTTAGTTTTATTTGAAATTTGATTTTGGAATAGGCATTTTTAAAAAATATTATTAATGGGCTTAGGCCTAAAATTCTTACATATAAATTTTCATTATTACAATTTTTTCTTCGAATAATAAATTTCAGTATTGCAAACATAATGATTACCTAAATACACTTAAATATTGTTTAATTTCATTGAAAACAATAAATTAAAATTTAGGATATGAGCATGGGCAATTTTTTAAAAAAATATTAACCCTCTATTGCGCGACATATCAATAAATGATGTAATTTTTTAAAAAAACTTATTTTTATCTTTAAAGGACCCTTATTAAACTAAAAATAAATAAAAAAAAATATTTTTTTTAAAACGTAGAAAAAATTTCAGTGTGTTTTGTGTATTCCACAAATGTTGACATTTAGATATAGCAACCTTATACACTTTCCTATAATCCTCATTGTTTAGAAGTATTTTATTGGTATCTTGTGTTGCCACTAAGTTTAATGTGTGACAGGAACATCTTCTATGCCTGGGAAGGTAGTCATTTATATTTTAATTGGTTAGCCCAGAGGAAGACATTATATCTTCTATTGAAATGTATTCAATATCTGAATCATTATCTTCCTTTATTTAGATTTATACATACATATTTTTAAAAGTAACTAGTTACTTTTGGCAGTTATATTGGTAAAAATATAACTAGTTACAGTTACTAGTTACAATTTTAAAATATTTGTTATTTTTTAACAAAAATGTAAACTAGGGGTGTACCGATACCACTTTTTGGAGGACGATCTGATCCGATATTTCAGATATTAAATTGATATCGGCCGATAACCGATCCGATATCATATCTAATTTTGTATTCTGCAAAGATACCGGTTTTAATTTTTAATATACTTTTTATTAGTACAACATCTATAATTTTACTATACCATAACATATGTCATTTAAATATATTATAATGGTCAGTTATAGTTTATATTCAATTCAATTGCTATTATTTATATAATAAGTAATAACATTAATCTATTTACATAATTAGTAATAAAAAAATATATTATGAAATTTGAAATTAATATTTAAAATTAATATATCGAAGATTTCTTTTTATATCAGAGATATGTCGGCGGTGATGGGGACTGTTAATATCACTAGCATCACTAAAAACAGATACTGAAGAGATTAATGAACACTCTTTTAAACAGAATGCGAAAAAAAATAACTATATTGCAGAATGTTTATTAACTAATTATTTCTATTAAAAAAATTAAATATAAAAATGTATTTCGATTATATTTATAAAAATAAATGGTTTTTTAGATATAACTTTTTTTAAATTTTGTTAACCCTGTATTGCATGTACTATGTTAGAATAATTTTTTTTTGGCAAACTAGATTTTTTATTTCTCTAGATACTATTGATAATCTCATGGCTCACTTTTTTTTTAAAAAAAATTCTAAATTTCTTAGAAGATGAACGGTATGTGGATTTAAATACACATTATGCAATTAAGGATACAAATTTCAATTATTTCCACAATAATTTTTATTGTACTTTAAACTATAAATATATAAAATTTTATTTAAATACAACAAATATTAAAGATTTAAACATTTTAATTTTTATGAAAATCTATAAAACAATTATTTGTGGGTGTAAAACATAAATATACACCACATTTTTTGCAAGATACTTTTGTTATAAATAAGCATCCTGGCATTTTACATCTACCCTTCTTATCGTTATATTTTGGCCAATGAGCCGTGAGGTCTTTCTTAACCTCTTCAAGTGGTAAATATTGAGCTGGTCCTTTTTTACATTTTTCCCGATAACCAGTTTGAACTGATTTTCGTTTTGGTATATTGTTTGAAGTGCATTTGCCATATTTGCAAAGGACTTCCGCCACTGAAATTTTGAAATTGTACAAACTTAATCGATCCTTGCGTGCTATTGAGTATTACTATTACAATCACGTTTATATAGCAACCATGAATTTATAAGTAACATGTCAAACATATGAAATAAAATTCTATGTACCATTTTCTTGATTTCGTATGAATTCTATATAAGGAAAGTAAAGAATCCATGAGATCTACACCTCCCATTGATTTATTATATATTTTAACAATATTTGGACATTTTATCATGATTTTTTCCTTTTTTTCCTATCATATCTTTCACAGTCTATTAGAGGATGTGCACCTACAAAAGTGCTTAATAAAGTCACAGCACGATTGTTATGCCACTTCACTGAATTTAGCTCCACTCCGTTTATTATTGTTTTTTTTGAAACAAAAAATCCTCGCCTTTTTTTTTAAACTCCTTATCTGTTGGGAAGTTTATATTTGGAAGTCGATTACCTCTGACCGTGCCGCGCAAAATATCCCTCTTTGAGCGAGTACGACTAGCAAATTTGGGGAACAAAACCAGTTATCAAAAAATAATTTATAATTAATTTGCTGCGGTATATAAGAAATTAAACGGAGAACAGCAACAGCATTGCCACTTGCTCCAACATCAGGCAATCCTTCCGCTGCTAGTATTTTCCCAGAATATATTTCAAAATTATGCAGAAAACCATCATCTCCGCATAGTAGAAATACTTTATAGCCCCATTTTTTGGGCTTTTGAGGGTTATATTGTTTCAACCTGCTTATCCCTTTGTATGGAATAATTTGCTCATCTACGCAAATGTTTTTGTTTATCGATAAAGATTTTAGTATTTTATTGGTTAGAGTTATTAGAAGTCTAATTTTATGTAGTGGGTCATGGCCTTCACTTTCAAGTGGAATTCCAAACTATTTTTCTCCTAGTGTTTTCTTTTTAATTATTGATATTTTCTTTTTCTTCCGAATCATCTGTCTCATTGAAATCTATATATTTATAGATTATATAAGAGCAAATTTTAAATATACCTAAATCATTATTTTGTGTTGATAGAAACTCCTCATCCGACGTTTCACTTAAATTTGAATCTTAACTATCATTAGGTATGTCACCACAATTCATAATTATTCTAAAAATATAAAACTCAAATAAAATACCTTATTTGCATAATGTGTCTTTAAAACCACGTATGATTATTACAAAATATAATTATCAAAAATAATAAATATATATAAAATAATTTCATAAACATTTATTTTTACCTTTTATTCATCTAATTTTAATGTTTTGAAATTTGTCAAATATATTATTTTTCCTTTTCCGATGGGTAGAAAATTGAGAAGAAAAATTTTATAAAAAATAGCCATTTTTAAAAATAGGGTTTATTAAAATGCGAAATTAAAAATAAATAATAGATCACGTGGCCCAAATTAAAATTCCAATCGAAGATATAGAATATGGCTTCAAATACACACCATGCAATTGATTTAAAATTTATTTATAAGATATTTATTATACAATTTGTAGTATGTGGAATGAGATACACAGTATGCAATACAGGGTCAAAAGCGCCATTTTATATCGGATCGGAAAATTTTATAATATTTGCCGATAACCGATATTTTAAAATGTGCGAAATATCGGCCCGATCCGATATAAAATATCGCTACATCCCTAATATAAACCTTAACAACACTAGTTTATTTAAATATACAATGCATGTAAAAAGTATCAGACTTTTTCAATTTCAAATTTATTACAAAATATAATTTTATTATTTAAAATAAATTTATATTAATTTTCATGAAATAATTAAAACAATCGTTTTTTGTAGTAAAACATAATGATACACCATATTTGGTATAAATCACTTTTGTAACCAATTTACACCCAGCGTTTTTTATATTGCGCCTTTTTACTATATGTTAATTAAAAAATATATATATGTTTATATGTTTTATGAAACCTGTTGCTACGACTCTTTCGATTTTTATTTTCTGATAAAGATAAAATATTTTGACGAAGATTTAAATGAAGATGACCTCTTAAGTTTTTTTAAAAAATAAGGAGTATTATTTAATTTAAAAAAAAATCCCTCAATTAAAATGTTTATTTATTACATATAATACAATTTTCCATCTTCTGCGCCATTGAACGTGTATTTTTCAAGGCAAAAGATGTGTTGAGTACTCTTGTTTATCTGATCAAAATTGTGAAAATCAATTGCTGTTAAAAACAAATAAATAATTATTATAAAAATATCTTATCTTATAATATATTATTTTTGTACAATTTATTAATATTAAATATAGGAAAAAATATTTATAAAAAGATCTCATCTTGTAATATATTATTTTTGTATAATTTTATATTATATATTTTTATATTATATATTTTTATATATAATATTTAAATTTTCAAGTAATAAGTATCGCTTCTTTCTGAATATACAGTAACTCGCGTTTCTTTTTTCACAACTTAACGAGTAACGATATCGCTTTCCTTTTCTTGACGTAACGAGTTACACGTTTCTTTTTTGAAGTAACCTTTTACAGCACTAATAATATAGAAAAAGTTTTTTATGTTTTTGATGACTTGGTATCTAACAGTGAAGGTTACTGTCCGGTCTTTGGTCTGAACCGGACCATGGCCTTTTTAAAAAAATTGATCTAAAAATATTTTGTTTTTACTTAATTTAATTCTTGTTTATTGGGACTATAAGTAAAATGCCTCTTTGAAACTTATGGTTTTCTTATTGCAAAATAAAAATGAACAATTCACAAAAAATAATAGAAAAATAAAATATTCAAAAAAAATAGGTAAAAAATAATATCAATTGTATAAAGTAAACTTAAATATTAATAAACGACCGGCTCAGAGCGTAATAAATAAAAAGACCGGTCCGGATTTTGGTCCTTAAAAAGATTGGTCCGTCCATCAGTCCGATCCTGGTCTAAGACCTATAGGGCCTAACCATTGACCTTCATTAGTATCTAATGAGTTAATAGAGCAAGAGCTATAAAGTTACAAGATATTTCCATATCAAATCAATCACCTTAAACCGACCATCTCACTTAAAATTTGGTATACAAGTTAATGAAGTGTTGTAATGGATGAATCCAAAATATTAACCCATACTAGAACTGGAAATATATCAAAATAGCTCTGCTTGGTCATTTTTCGAAAAGAATTAAAATTGCGGTTAAAAATTTGTAATTATATTTTTCAAATGTTAGTATATATTTTTTCAAAATTTCAGACATTTTGTAACGAGTACCAAGAACTGTTAATTTAAAAATTTTCAGATTGGTAAAAAAAAGTTAAATGGAAAAATGTTAAATAAAATTAGCGCTAGATGGGGCTATTAATAAATAGTTGAAAATTTATATATAAAAATATAAGTCAATCTACATTCCATAATATAATATTTATTGAATAAAATCGCATTTGGCACAAAAATAAATTTCCGCTAGATAGCGCAAATAAATTTAAAATAGCTAGAAACTTATTTTTTTAAAATATATCACTCGAAGTTTTTATTAATTCTATAATATTTATTAAATTAATTCATAGTAAAATTACTTATAGTATAAAATGCTTAGTTATAATGATTTTCTTGAATTTAATTTGTATGGCCATTTCGGATTCTCCACGAGTTAAATTATAAGTTTTTCCAGTAGTAAATAAAAGGTTGGCGACAGTTCAAATATCATTTTTGGAAGAATAGGAATATCAGATATTGAATAATAAAAGGACTGAAAGGGTGTAAAAATATTACCTTTTTTTAATCACTAATAATCGCTAAAAATATATGCCCCCCCCCATTCATAATCATAAATCCATGTCAATACCTTTTAATATCATTGGTTGATATTTCGCCTATTTGATTTAGAATGTGTGGTTTGACAGCACTGGAATATTTTTTCTTAATTATTTGAAAAATTCATAGAGTCTATCTTAGCTTATCACAAATAATTACGGAAAAATATTCCAGTGCTGTTCAAACCACACAACAAAATATTCAAAATCGAATAGGCGAAATATCAAATGATATTAAAGGGTATGTAATATGTTTTCATGATAATTGGTATATATTTCTAGCGATTTTTAGTATAATGATGAAGTAAAGATAATATTTTACAACTTAATGGACCTTCTCAGCCCTTATCCATCAATACCTGATATTCTTATTCTTCCGAAAAATGGCATTCCAACCCTTTTGAACACTGAAAGAACTTATAATTTAACCCTGAAGATTCCTATATGGCCATATACAAATTGAATTTGAGTGAATCAATATAACTATCGAATAAATAAAAACTACGACTGACATATTTTACAAGTTTTTATCACAAATAACCTGCGCTATCTAATGGAAATTTTATATTTGTGTCAAAATACTATTTTATTCAATAAATATTATATTATTGAATGTAAAAAAATGTACTATGACCTATATTTTCTAAAATTAAGTAATTTAAAATCTAGCCCCCGGTAATTTTATTTTAAGCATTTATTTTACTACTCGGGAAATATAACAGTTCTTGCTATTCCTTCCAAAATAAATATGGAAAAAAAAATTAATTTTATTCAAAATACCTTTTAGATTTTACTTAGGGCTATAAAATGGGTTATCTTTAACTTTTTATCTATTGGACCAATTTCTCTCAAAATTGGTCAAAATTTGTATATTTATGATATGTACCTTACCTAAGTTCATTTATTGAAAAATAGAGCAATTCAATAAAAAAATATTTTAAATAAATTGTTTTTAGTACCTCTTTCTGCAAAAATCACCATTACACATTTTTTACATTTTTTTTGGTGAAAAAATTACTAATTTAGATTACTGATATTTTATATAAATATTATCCTTAGGCATTAAGCATTATTCACACAAAAAAATTAGACTTTAAAAGCTTTATTTAATAGACATATAAAGGCGCTTAATAATAATAGAGAGGTGAGTATTGACTTGCCATGTATTGATACAATTCGTACATTCACATATTCATATTAAAATGAAAAGCTCTTTCAAAACAACATTTGGTGAAATAAAATGATGAACAAGCTTAAGAATGTTTAGTAAAATGATAATTAAGATATTAATTTATAATATTATCATTGAATATATATGGTAATAAATTGAGATTTTAATACTAATTAAATTAGTGTATAATTATTTTTTATATAACTAAAAAATGTAGAAACATTAACATAGGTCTTATACAATATTTCATATTGTATTATTTAATATTTATAAAACAACTTTCACATAATCTCATCTAACTTCTAAAGTATTATACATAGAGCTTTGATTCAAATTTTATTTTAAAGATTAATATATTTGCTACACATTGATATAAAATTTGTTTGGTTAAACATAAATGTTAATACCTTTTTTTTCAGAGAAGCAAAAACATGGCCATTCATGGCACATTACTTATCTCCAGTTCTAGTAGAGTTAATATAATATTTTAGATTTATCAATTACAACACCATTAACATATATACCAAATTTTAACAAATCTGAGAGGGTCGGTGTTGAGATGACCTGATTATATATTTCTTTTTCATTATTAACTTAATACTAACCTTGCGGACTCATTTTGTAATATAAACTCAATAGTTTGATTTAAATTGATTTTTCGTTTATATAAATTATTAAATTGATTTTTCGTTTATGTAAATCAGAGACCTGCAGAGGTACCATTTGCACGGCCCGGCCCGGTTTTGAATTTTTTAGGCCCGGCCCGGATATTTTTTAAAAAATTTTTTTACGGCCCGGCCCGGCTCGGATTTAAAAATTTAAGGCCCGTCCCGGATATTTTTTAAAAAAAATTTTTACGGCCCGGCCCGGCCCGGATTTAAAAATTAAAGACCCGGCCCGGATATTTTTTTAAAAAAAATTTCAGGCCCGGCTCGGAATTTTTTAAAATTATATTCGACCTGGTATATACAAAAATTCACCTATGAGGTATTTTACCATATTTTTCAGCGAGTATTATCGCTTATTATTTAAAAAATACATGTAAAAAGCTAATATTTTTAGAATATTATATTGAATTTATAAAAATTATAAAACTGTTATTTATAAAAATGGATATTTTGAGCATATACTATATTTGATATTACATTTAAAAAAAATAAAACTAATATTTAATTTATAAAAATGGAAAATATTTTGAGAATAGATGGTATTTCTCTCATACCCTGGTCTAATGGTCCGCTAACATGGGATTACATTTGCGTTGATTTTGCTGCCAAGTCTAACCTCTCATTTTCTGCTATCGAAAAGGCAGAAATCCTTAAAAAAAATAAATACGCCTCGTCAACACTATGTTCATTCCTATCGTTACCAATACCCTAGGCATGTTTGGAAACGAGGCCCTCAATTTCATTAAAATTATAGGAAAAAAAATGAGACAGATCTCAGGGGACCCCAATGAAGGATTTTACCTTCGCCAGCAGATTTCCCTAGAAATTTGCCGGTCTAATTTTTTAAGTATTCACTCTTCTCTTTGATGATATATACCCCCCCCCCCCTTTTTAAAACCCATATATTTTTTTTATAGTCTTTTTTAATGTCTTCATAGATCATATATATATTATATATTTCTTTTTTTTTATATTTAATTTTTAATATATATTTTTTAATCCTCTGTAATTTTAATGAAAATCAAAAAATAAAATATAATATATTGTATTTAATTTATAAAATAAAAATAAATCGCTATTTAAAAAAATGCATGTATAATAAATAGTATTTTGAAAATATAATCTAATTGCACAATATTAATATAATTTATTTTATAATATAAATTTTTAACAAAAGAAGATAATTGTATTATATAATATTGTAAAAAAAAATAATGAAAAATGTTGGATTAAAAACTTTCATGACTCAAGGTAAATATAATAAATGCAATAAATATTTGACAGTTTGCAAAGTAAAAAATCAGCATGATTGACGAAACCCTATACTCAAGAAAGATATTAAAAATTCACAAATTATCATGAAGAAAGAAAAGCATATCTACCTTTTCAGGTTGAAGATTACTTCTTCTTTTTTCAAGAATTCTTATAGTGGAAAAATTCCGCTCACAGCTTGCACTTGAAGCAGGAATTGCCAATTTTGCTAAAATTGGTGATGAGCCGCCCACCACTAACAAATTATCCACCTTAAATGTTTCATCTATTTTTTTATTTATGTAATTATCAGAGTTGTTAAAGTATCTAGATACTGTATCTAGATATAAAAATGTAGTATCTGTATCTATATCAAGATAGATTTTTTAGAAAGGTATCTGTATCTAGATATTATTTTAGAGGTATCTGTATCTGTTTTTAGATACTTTTAAAGATACATTTTATATACCCCTTTTTTTATTGTAAATAAAAATATTTGACTGTAAAATTTATTTTATTTCATATGAGCTTATGAAATAAATAAATATATATATATTATATATTAATATTTATTAATACTATAATAAAGAATTATATATACATAAAATATTAAAACTTATATATAAAAAATATATATAAATATTCATTAATTTAAATATTATGTCCGAGTTTATCAATAAACCATACAAATTTTAATATTACAATATGGAAATGGTAAATTTTATTTTATAACTAAATTTTTAAGTTTATATATTTATTTAGATCTATATCGATGAAGAAGAGGAAGCAACAAGTTCTATTGCTTTACCATGGCCAAATTGAGCATATTTTAAAATAATATCTCAAAACAAAGAAAACAATTAATTCTCTGATGGTAAAAGGTTTGCCGTGTCTACCTAAAAATACAAAAATATCCGTCAGTATGACTTCAATGTGCAATATCGTGAAGCACATAAGGGTATAGATATTATATATTTAAAATTCTAATTAAAATTTTAAGAGAAAATATCCAACCTTGTTAACAAAAATAAAAAAGGGGAAGGAAAATAAAATACTAAAGAAAATATTGGCAAGGCTCATCCTCCAATAATATTTTTGCTAAAAGACCTTTGACTTTAACTCAAGGCACTTTAGATGATTTAATTATTGCTTTTATTATAGATGGCATGCAGCCATTATAAAAGAAAACAATTGATACAAAGATTAGCTGGTGAATTATCAAAGTCATCAACTGACTGCAAGCAAATAACCTGCCAAAAAAAACAAATAATTTAATTTCAGATTTTTTTCAGTACCCTACAGCAGATATAATTTCTAATAATGATTTAAATTTTGATAATCAACAAATTTTAAATAACTTTTTCTAAAATAAATGTAGAGATTTTAGCATTTTTAAAGAACTGATATAAAATTGTTATTTATTAAATATAACACTACAATTCCTTCAAGCGCCTCTGTGGAAAGACTATTTAGTGTTGCTAAAAATGTCTTCACAGATAAACGAGGATGCCTAAATGATCAAAATTTTGAAAATATTTTATTACTGAAATCTAATAATTATTTAATCATATATTTTCATATATTATATTAAAATTATAATTTTAGTTATATTCTGATAAATGTTATATCGCGTCAATAAATTTTTAGCTCATTTCATGAATTTTCACAATATAATATTAATTTAGGTTTATGCAAACCTATAAGAGCATAAAAAAATGTATCTGTATCTAGATAACTTTTGAGACTATGTATCTGTATCTGTATCTAGATCCATTTAAAAAGTATCTTTTAACAACTCTGGTAATTATAATATTCATCATCGGGTTTTGACATATTACCAGAATTACCATCGCCCCATTTGTCATAAAACGATTCAGTTTGTTTAACAACAGTCGTAATTTGACTGGTCGATGGTATTTCATTTACTTCCTGAGCCTCTTGTAATTTAATATAATCTTTTATATAGTTTTCCGTCATCTTGCGATCTGTCCCTGACTACATACGTAATTGCTTGAATTTGGGACAGAGAAAAAGAGAAATAAAATGATACTTATGTAAAACAAATTTTTCAATTAAAAAATGCTTTATAATAAGTAAAATCAATTTTATTTCTCCTTTTTCGCTTTGAAAGGTATTACAAACTTCAAGAAGTGATATTCCTTCATTTGATTGTTTTGGTAAAAAATATTCTAAAAATTTAGATATGAATTATAAAAAAATATATTAATCTTGAATATTGGGGCTTATTTAAAATATTCCTTTATTTGATTGTTTAGGTAAAATATGTTGTAAAAATTTAGATATGAATTATAAAAAAATATATTAATACTTTGAATAAATTTGCAGGAAATTAATTGATCGATCTGTGGGTGTTAGGTAGTGTTAACCATCACCCAATATTGTATTAATCATAACTACAATATAATATAATCTTATAACCATTAGCTCATAATGTAAAAATTTTTATAAAAAATATTAAGGCCCGGCCCGGCCCGGCCCGGCCCGGGTTTTACAATCTTAGGCCCGGCCCGGCCTGGCCTGGCCTGGATATATTTTAAAAAAAATTTTTTAGGCCCGGCCCGGATATGTTTAAAAAAATTTTTTTTAGGCCCGGCCCGGGTATATTTAAAAAATTTAAAATACGTCCCGGGCCGGGTTTAGGGCCGGGACTGCAGGTCTCTGATGTAAATTATTAAATTGATTTTTCGTTTATATAAATTGATTTTTACAAGCTATATAAGCATGAAAATATATTAAATTTTTAGTAAAAAGAAATAAAATAATTTTTAAATAAAAAAATTTCTTAAATGATTGTAATTTGAATTGATGAATTAAATCTCCTAAATTTGTTATACCTATTACCAGTAAACACTATGGACAATTGTATATTAAATTTAGAAAACTTCAGTCGGTAAAGTGGTTGATTTGATATGGAATTTCCTGCAATAATTTTCACAACATATCGCCAATTGGTAAAATTTCATTGATTGGAAGATATCTACTAAAATGACTCTTTATATTGATTTGTTAGTCAATTCATCTATAATATTTTTTAGAGCAGGAATTAGTTTTATATTTTATAGGTTCTAATTATCTAATGAATTGTTTTTAAATATAAATTCAATTATTATTGAAAAGAAATTTTATTAATTATCACATAAGTTTATAATTTTTATTTATTTCAGGTGTGAATTATTTGATAAACATGTTCAATATCTGATGGAGCAAGCACGAAAAATTTAAAGCTGTTATAAGTCTATTATATTTATTAATTTGTTTGTATTTTTGATAAATTAATACAGATATAAAATTATATTCTGTATCATGATTCTTGAATATGTAATTAATTATTTTGTGAGAATTAAATATGTATTTGAAGATAAAAATTAGGGGAAAATGGGGAAATTAAAAAAAAATGAAGGAGACTTAGGAATTCTTGCAAATATTAATTTATTTATGTTATCAAATAATAAGACAATATCAACATTATAATTTAATAATTTTATTTATTAAAATATTACATTTTATATTAAAAATTGATAAAACAAAATAAATTTATTCGATATCCTTATCAATGAATTGAAGTAGTATCACCTTCACCTGATATAGTAGTATTAACATCTATTATTAAATTAACTTAGTCCATATCATTGAGCGCCCTAGCAATAATATCTGGATATGATATAACCTTGATTCTGGGAAGTTAAAATTTCTACTTTTACTAGGAAATTTAATACTTTGACATAGGCATCTTGATAGAATTTGAGAATATGTATCAGCAATATTTACATACATTACTAGGTAACATTTTTTGTATTACAACGAAAATTTTAATAAACTATCATATTTTACTTATTCAAATCCAAAAATACACATTTGTAACTTTAATGAAAAATTATAAATAAAATATTTTAAATAGAAAACTAAAAAGTGTTTAAAACTTACTTTTTAACTTTTTAAAGATTTAATTTCATTAAATTTGTGCAATTAACCAAAGTGAAGTTATTGTTCATCGAAGTTTATATTATGCAAAGACCTGTTATATGGTAATTGAATAACTATAACTTATTGGATTTCTGTAAGATATATATATTCATATATGAGAAAATATTGACTCAAAAACTGAAAATATTGAAAGAAGTAATTTATTTAAGAAATCAATTTTTAAATTTGTATAAGTAATCTATTAAATCTGATATCCTCTCAAAATATTAGAAAAGTCAGGAGAAAAGAATTATCAGTTAATTAAATTTTTTAAAATAAAGGACGATCCTTAATGGTAGGGGAGATTGGGGCTAGTCGAACCGATTTTTGCAAAATTGGCCTTAGCTCCTATGTTTTTTTAGATATTATAAAACATGATATATTACCTAATATAAAGGTACCTTATAAAATATTTTTAGAATATTTTTTGAAATTTTTTTTTGTTCAATAAGTCCCAATAACGGGGTTGGGCAAACCACCTCAAGGGGCTTCCTAAACCATTGGTTTTTAGGCTATAACTAATTTAAATACCATTTATTTATTAATAATGATATGTATATAAAAATTTTATTGTTTAATATATCATAATACTTATAAATTAATCTTAATTTTGGTTAATTTACTAAACATTTTGGACATATAAAAAATTTATCGAAGTTTCAACATGTACCATATGCCCATCCTTGGCACATTCTGCATTGGTACTATTCTTCAATGTTGTGATGTTTTATATAATCCAGCTTACAATAAAGAAAATATCTTTGTGAATGAATTTTTTTCTTGCAAATATTTCACCTTCTATCGCATGTAATATTTCATTAGTTTGATCTAAGAATACCTAAAATTAGTGTTGTTAAACGGCTCGTTTTGAGCCGATTTTTAAAAACGGCTAACTCAATATTTTAGCCAGTAAAATATTGCCTAACCCTCGAGATTTTGCTTATAGATATCCAAACTTTGTTTCTTCTACAAACAAAATCTTCAGGCTTGCGTAATATTATTCTAGAAATATTGACTTAGCCGTTTTTAAAAATCGGCTCAAAACGAGCCTTAAACAACATTACCTAAAGTAAGCATTTCAATAAAATATTAGATTATATTAATTATGACAAATACTAATACAATAATATACTTCGTCATAATTTTAATAGATTAAAATATAAGAACATAAAATTTATAAATTAACATTTAAAAATAATATATAAATTAAATAATATTTTAATCTCCTTACCATTACCATTTAGTTTTTTATTTACATAATCTCTTTTCTATTATTAAATATTGCTAAAATTTGATTTTATTGCTTTAAAATTACTTCAAATTAATACAATAATACTATACTTCGTCATAATTTTTCATCTTATATTAAAATATAAGAATATCAAATCTATAAATTACATTTAAAATTAATATATAAATAATATTTTAATCTATTACCATTTACATAATCTCTATTATTAAGTATTGCTAAAATTTGATTATATTGTTTAAAAAATACTTATATGATTATATCTTAAAAATAAGGCAGATAATATAAATAAATTTATCTTTTAATTGGCTGATCCTTGATGTTTTACTTAATAGCTTAATTACATTATAATATCAATTCATCAAATTTTGGTATACTTATAGATAATCATTTTTATAATTTTATTGTATTTGTATTTTCTCACCAAATAAAGTAATAATTCCTAAAAAAATCATTCAAATAGGTGTCATCTCCAATAAATTCATTAGTTGCTTAATAACTTGTAAAATTTAATTTTTTGGTTTTTGATATAGCCGTAACTTCTCCAAGTTTTAATTATATTTTTTTTATTTAAAAACGACTTCAATTTATAAAATAAGATATAATATAAACTATATCAAAATAAAATATATTAATAAAAATTTATAGTATATAATTTGTTTAAAAATTTGAGAAGGTACCTCTCGGTAATGCATGGATTGATATACAGTGTGACCAGGGTAGCCAGGTCAAAATTTTCAAATTGCGTGAGAATTTTGGTATTTTGCGGGAGAAATATGAAAATTGCGGTAGAAATATAAAAATTGCTAAAAAATTTTTTTATGGGCTTTCGGTCGGATTTTGAATTGACTTAGTTATATGCCTATTATTTTTGATAATTACTTTATGTAAATACAAAGTCGGTAACTATTTTTCAAAATAGATCCTGGCGAATCATAAAATATAGAGAGAATTACAATATCCTAAAACAAGACATCAATGTCTATCGGTATTTTTAATATATTTTTTAAATTACAAAACACAATTGATGGTTTCTGTTCCAAGGTCATTATATTTATACATTTGTAAATAGAGTTATTAAAATCAAATTTTGATTGCAAATATTCTAAAATTGTTCTTAATAAAAATACTTGCTTCATTTAAAAATACATTAATTAGAGTATTATTTGAACATTTTAATATAATATTTTTAGCAATAGCGAGATAAAATTTATTATCAATTTTTAACTGTAAAGATGAACACAGCTGCAGCATAATTTTGTGAATCTTCATTAATAAAGATTCTTCTGATTGCAATTGAAAATTAATAGCACGTAGTAGATTTCCTACATGTGAAATCATTCCTAAATAAGCTTGTGTCATTTCATCCTCAAAAAATTTTTTAAAAATTTCAGGGCAGCTTTTATAATCTTTATTTAATAAGTAATTTTTAAAGGTTCTTAAAATTTTAAAATTCTATCGATGATAACCACCTGATAGAGACATGTCGCAACAACTCACACCATTCCAAGTCAGACAACTCCACGCCTTTTTTAGTTGATGAAAATTCGTTTAAACATTTCATCACAATTATTTCGACATCCACAGATAATGCATTCATTATTATGTAGTATATGGCATATGCAGCCAATTGGTATTAATCATTATTGTGCTGCCTCAATTCGGTAAATACACTTTGGTTTCTGCCAAAATTCACAGAGGCATTATCAGCACAGAAAACTGACAAGCAACTCATTGATAACCCTGATTCAGCTCCATTTACCATTATGTGGTTAGTTATATCGTTGGATTTTTACTATCCAGGAAAAAAAATTTTTCTTGTTGAAATAGCGAAGGATCTAGGGAAATGTTTTAATATTTCCCTTATTAGGTGCAACTGTTAAAATTGTTTATGGATGTCGACCTTTCAAATCGTCTAGAATTGACCTCTTGGATTCAGGTCTTAGAACATTTGTGATAGCCTTGCTCATTTTTGTTCTACCACAAGTAAAGTTTAAACTTAAATTGGAGTTGTTAAATATTATGGGGAAAAGATTCGACCCATATTGTAATGATAGGATAGTATTATATATTTCCGCAACTGTAATTGCATCTGTATTGTAAATAATGTGATTGAACTATAATAAATAAAATAATTATCAGTATCATTGAAATAAGTATAATATTATTTTATTATATATTTAAATTAACCTGAACATGATAATTAAGCGCCGAGCCCTATAATGTTATATACAAACACACTGAAAATGATAAAATATGAATGAAATGAATGATGTTGATTTATTATTGGATAAAAATAAAACAGGAGAAAGAAATTTACAAACTATACATGTTTTTCGCATAAATATTTAAAATTTATTTTAAAAATAAATCAATTACTGTCTCAAAATTATTATTTATATAATAAAAACGTTAAAATGCTCAAAAGAAATTATGCGGGAGAAATTAAAAAATTGCGGGAGATTCACAATTGCGAAAGTGAAATGTCTGCGTGTAAACTAAAAAATTGCGGGAGTCTCCCGCTGATGGAGGGAGACATGGCAACCCTGAGTGTGACCTATATATTTCAATTGAAATCCGCTGCAATAGGTAGAATCCTATCTGAGGATTACCATAAATTAAGCACATTCGAATTTTGAAGAAATTTATGTCCTGGTCCCGAAAGCACCAATGTTTGGGAACAATTGGGGTTAAAATGATATTAGGAATATTTATATATTTATTAATTTTTAAGGACTTTTTGAAAAATAGGAATAGCTTATAATATTGAAATTTTCGATATTTTTAAAATTAGTTGGATAAATATGACTTAACAAATATAGGATATATAGAATTTAAGTTACCAGATTCTATCATTACTGTTTGTTATTATTATTTTTGCATATTAAAAAATAAAATATAGAGAATTTTCTAAAAAATTAATAGATTTCATCGTTTTTTGATTATTCGCTGTTTTTTAAAATAATCTACAATTTTTAAAATTATTTATATGGTTTTTTAAAATATATGAACAGTTCTTTAAAAATTAATTTGAGAGTTTTTGCATTATTTTAAAATTAAAATTTTTACATCATCAGAAAGTTCACGATTCAGGAATAGCAAGCATACACGCAGCTTTATGAATAATAATCATATAAACATTGCATTCCAGCAGATTAAAAGCGCACAATTCAAATTGAAGAACAATCTCAAGAGGCTCAAATTTTTTTAAAAATTATATTCAAAATAACCTTTTTTTAAGTTAACATTTTCAAAATTACCCTTTTTCCAGGGGGTTCGAGCCCCTGCACCACCCTTCAGTGACGCTACTGGAAGAGATTAGCCATGTAAATAAACTGGAATTTAAAATAAAGTACCTCAGTTTATGGATCAAATATCCCAAATTATATATTTTCAAATAAAGTATGCCGACCTTTTTTATAAAATATATTGATAAATACTAGCCGTAGCCTAGATTTTGCGAGGGGGAAAGTACTATGGGGGTTTTTGCCCAATAAATATTATTGGTAGGTTAACCTACTTTAGCCTAAGGCTATGTAGTAATTTTATAAAAATAATATTGGTTTTTCACTTTTTTTATAAATATTTTGAGATTTAACTTATTTTTTTTTCATATTTAAATATATTTTTGGGAAAGGGGGTGGGTAAATTTTTATTCGCTTAAAATAATATTTCTGACAGAAGTTTGAAGAATTCCCAGCTACTTCTATGTACGGAATTTAATATGAACTTATGAAAATATACCATCCCTTTCTACAAGTATTACCAAAACACAAAGATTATAAAATACCTTAGATCTTCAAAAAATATTTTGGATTTCAGTTAGAGCATGTCGGTAGTACAGATAGAATTAGTTTTTGGTTATGTGTCTCCTATGTAGTCTTGTTAAACGGCCCGATTAAGATTTTAGCCAAATAATATTATATAAACCTGAAGATTAGATGACAGAAAGGGTTGGACCTCTATTTGCCAAATCTCGAGGCTACCTTAATTTAAAATTCGAAATTTTGAATGACCTAGATTAATTGGAAATAGCAAGTTATATTAAAATATATAGTCTCAATAATTATTAAATATAAAAGTAAAAATTATAAAAATTTTCTTTATTTAATTATTACATTTTCCACTAAAATTTAAATATCAACACTTTTTTTTTTATCTTTTTGCAATTCAATCGCTAACTCTAATATTAAAATTTTCATATGATAAAAATCCTCCAAATATAATAAATTAACATTTTTATAAAACAGGCACAATTACGACACATAATATTATTTTGGCTAAAATCAGGGATCCAAACCGAAACGAATATCGGTTCGGGTTCTGATAAAAATAACGGTTCAGGTTCGGTTCGTAAAAATCTAAATATCGGTTCGGCTTGAACCTCTAAAAACCGGTTTGAACGTTTTTGTATTCAAATCTACATTCGACTTATGTATAGGGAAAAAAAATTTTTATTTCATAATTAAAATAAAAAAACATACAAAAACCTTCATTTTTATTAATTGCACATTATAAAATAACATTTAATTTATAAATATAACAAATAAATATCAATGATTAATTTTAATATGAACAATTACATAAAATTTTTTATTAAGCCGCACAATTAATATATTTTCTGTTGCATTTTTGCGTTATAAAAAAATGCATTATTCAAATTGTAAATGTTTTATTAAAATTATTAAGTTATTATTTAGATCGCCGTCTATGTAAATGAGAAAAAAACGCGTGATAATTGTAGATTTTTCATACTTTAAGAGTTTTAACAAGTGGGATAATGAACTTTTTATTTTTCGCTGGGAAGACTTTTTAATTTTTTAATTTACGTATAATTTTTATATATTAATTTTATTTTTCTTTTATTTTGATTATGTTTTTAACTTTGTAATTGATTATAATTATTTATTTAATAAAGATTAAGAATCATATTAGTATATATTTTTATTTTAGGTTTTTAAGTTCACAATCCAAAAACTCCCAATTGTGACATTTTCAAAATTCGTCTCACTCAAATTACATCTATAAGGAGATAATATATATTTAATTGTTAAAAAACAGCTTTCCACACTTAGGTAGCCGACACTGCCAATATGATATCAGATTTGATGTGTCATTTATAATAATATTTTGGATTTAATTTTTCTCTAAGAATTATAATTTATAAGCTTAAAATATTTAAAAAATGTTGTAAAAAGACAATATACTAAAGTTTATAAAAATTATGACCGACACTTATAAATCAAATGTGATTGATAATCTTTAAAATAATTCGAATATAATTGAAATTTTTTCGACATACTAATAATAACTTACTTATTATTTTATAAGAATAAAATCATGAGGCTTGAACGGTTCAGAGGCATTTTAGCGGTTCGGCTCAGATTCAGCTAGAAAGTTTTTGTCGGTTTAGGTTCGATAAAAAATACCTGTTTTTAGCGGTTCGGTTTGGATCCCTGGCTAAAATCTTAATCAGGTCGTTTTATAAATTGGAACATTAACAACTACTCATATGTAGGTATATAACATAGGGGAGATTTCTACAATTTTTTAAATGTTTTTTTGATCAAACAATCATGATTTTTGTCATGAAAAATATTTTTTCCTCTTGGTTCATTATAATGAGTTCTTTTTGTATGTACGTTCATTTTCGAGAATATTATAATAGCTCAACTCTAGTAATGTTCACCGAAAGGAATTTTTATTGACTGAAATATATTTAAATTTTTTAATAAAAGGAATATAGCAGGCCAACCTCTTCTAATTTTAATTCAAATAATATAAATTTCTGTAAAAATAATTTTATGAAATATATTAATAATTTTTAAACACCCTTTTTATGTTAAATTGTTCATTTTGTATAATGTAACCTGTATTTGTAAGAAATTATTTCAATCTTTAAAACAGTATTAAAATGCTCTCAAGATTTTTCTTAGTAAAAATTTGCAGTGAATATGCTTCTAAAGGATCTAGCAAATATGATTTAAATTATTAGATATCTAAAATTCAACACATTTAAGGAAAAATAACCATTTAAAAATAAAAACAGGATCGTTTCCTTAAAGTTACCTAGCCAACCCAACTCTTTGGACAGTATAGCTTTGATAATTATTAGTCAGTTAAAAAATAAAAACATTTTGCAGCAATACTCCATATTTTTATAGAAATAAGTGACTTAATCTTCCAATCAAGTTTTTTAAGTGATCCTACTCATCTATACAATTTTATAAAGTCATTTCTACACAAATAGAGGAAGTGGAAGCGAACAAATCAAACTTATCTGATGTTCCTCTAGCATTTATCTATATCAGGGTGATCTCTCACGGAATGAAATTATAGATTTAATTAAACGTAAAATTTTTTGTTCATTATAATTGAAAAATCTAATTTAAATGAACTCCCAATTCAGTCATAAATGTTATTATCGCTAAGAATTTATAAAAAAAAATTTCTTAAAAAATTATAAATTTACTTTGGTGTGGTCTCACAAACGCCAATCAATCACAAAAACTATTCAACCGAAATGTATGAAATTTGGAATATAGATTCTAAGATATATTTGATGAAACTACTGGAGAATCCAGATGATAATATTTAATCGTTTTTATGTAATATCACTTCTAGAATGTCTGGGGTTTCATTTCATATACCACTCTGGAGTATTGAAGGGTTACACTGGGGACGTACATCACCCTGCTTATATACTTGAACCAAGATATTGACGATTTAATTTTATAAGTTGATAAATGATTATATGTCATAACCCGATTTTCTGGATATGTATATATAGATGTTGCTAGACAAATTGCTCAATTTAAGAGATTTGAAATCGTTTCAAAAGAAAATAACAAATTTAATAATGAAAATTATATCATATTTTAAATAATATATATATTTTTAATAAAACATTTTAAAGAAATAAATAATTGTACCAAATTTTAGTTAGATGTACATGTGACAAGATTTTTGTTTATCTAAATATTATATAGAATTATCAATTAAATTATACTAAAACTAAAATGACTTGAACAAACTTCCCAGACAATGAATATGTTCTTGTCATACATTAAGCTTAGTATAAATATAAGATGCCAATAAAATCCTTTTAGATGGATTATAAGAAAGCATATAACCATGTTATATCAAATGCCAACCTTTGTGGAATTTACAAAATGTGGTCAGTTGAGGAAGGCTTATTTTTGAAGAGAAACAAGCAAATTCTTTATACAGAAATTTTGAAAATAGTTTATTGTTAAAGGGAAATAAAAATTTACTTAACCCAAATTTTTGTAAAAATATTAAGTGCAAATATATATAATAATCTTATATTTTATTTTGATGTATATATATATATTATAACCTCCAGATTTTTTTCAGTGTAATTATATTTTTATATTAATAAAAAAAAATGATGAGTTATATAAATGATTTATAAAGTTATAATGTAACTAGTTAATTTTGAATAATGTTTTTAACTGTAACTAGAAAAGTAAAAAACACTAAAATGTACCCTATTAGTGTTTCCTTTCTAATAGCAAAGCTTCATATTTAAGTTAATTAATTTTGTATCAACTAAATTAAAGCTCTGCAGATCCAGCCTGTAAACCTAGCCTCAAATGAACCAAAAATGCTATATATCAAAAATCCAAGTAAGGTGGGACCTGAAAATTTTAAAATTAGGGTCTTTATCCAGAATTCATACATACAAATTATATCAAAAATATAATTAGTTTTAAAAAAATTACCAACTAAATTTAAAGGATGTTTACCAGATTGAATTAAAAAACTTAATATATACAAGCAATTTAATCTAATTTATCAGTTAGAAGATTGTTTTATATAAACATGTATAATAAAAAAAATTTAATATTTTATAAGAGGTTCAAATAAATATAAATAACATATGAAAATAAATGCAATATTATACACTATAAAATTTTAATAAATTTAGCATAAATGCTAAAAATATAATACCATAATTTATGAGCAATTTTTGTATTTTTAGTTAAACATTTCCATAATATGATAGAAAATATGATATTTATGAAATAAGTTATGAACTTAACCTTTTTGTAATGTGATTTGGCAATTTTGAGTTCACAAATGTTTTCATTTAGAAGAAATGACTTAGCACCTAAGCAATAATTATCAATATATTTGTTCCATTCTAATGTTTTTATATCAAGATAAAAGATAGATTTATCTTCTTTACTCAAATTTTTGTATAAATTGCTAAATCCTATATTACTAAATTCCCAATTATGTTGGGTAAAATAATCCAAAGAACTTAATGCCTTATGAATTTTTTCATAAAGATGAATTATAACAGGTTCTTGACCTATAAGCCATCTTGTGGTATCAATTAAATAGGCAGGCAAAATATGATCTAATAGAACTCGTAATTTAAACCATTGATGATTATTTGTAAAATAAGCATTTGGTGTTCTGAATAGGCCATTCAATGGAGTTCTATTCAATGACGTATTCAAAAAGTTCCCCATTTCCCCCCAAGTTAATTTATTGATGGCTCCAGATGTGCAATTAATAACTAATATTTGATTACTCTTAAAGTTATGAATATACCAAGCAAGTGTTATCATAAGATTTACTGATATATCTACAGGAATTATATCAGCAGTTGCAAAATTATTACCTCTCATAATTCTTAAAAGCCCTTTGCCCATGGCAGTTAATAATCCAGTTGGCCCATTATAATTATCAATCCATCCTGGTATTGGTTCTTGCCAAGATGCTCCAACAATTGAAGGTCTGATTATAACAATAGGTAAATTTTCAGAATTTTCTAAAAGTAATTGCTCGGCCATAGCTTTGGTATATGTGTATGTATTTGGGCGACCTTTTATTAAGTTTGGTGTGATTTTCATTAAAATATCATCATCAAACCAATCTAAAAGATCTAAAATTTTTGATGGATGTGTTGAAAGTGGATAAATTTTTTCATCAATAAATTTTAGGTGACAATTAGAATATGCAGTTGATACATGTACCAAGGAAGTTAAATTTTTAATAGTTTTGCATATATTTATTAGATTTAATACACTTATCACATTAAAACGAATTGCACATTTTAGCTCTTCATTAAAACGTATTGTGGCTGCAGCATTAAAAACTATGGATATATGATTTTTTATAGTTTCCAAATTTTCATCATTTAAGCCAAAATTTTGCTTGGTTATATCGCCTTCCATTGCTATTATTTTTTTAAGCACTGCATGATTTTTAGAAATGCGAATTTTGTTGAAAATTTTACTAATGATAATTTTTTCTAATCTTTGTGAGACAGTCAAACCTTTTTTCGGGCGAATTAGTATGTATAAATGGTCTAATGTATGACATGATCGAAGAAGTTTTTCGAGTAAAACCTTTCCAATAAATCCTGTAGCCCCTGTGATAAGGATATTTTTCCCATGATAAAACTTTAATACTGGTGTTTCATATCTATCCATATGTTATAATTCAAGTTTCGAACACATTCAGAAATTCAAATTGACATTAATAAATTTATAAATGATTTTATATCAAAATAAATTAATTTAAGTTTTTTGAAATTTTAAAAATTATAATATTGCCAAAAAGTTAAATTTGAAGAGTACCCTAGCAAACTGACTATCTAAAATTTATTATAAAAATATAGAATAAGCTGTCTTAAGGCTTATTGTTAATTAATAAAGAGGTATCAAAAAATTTATAATCACTTTTATGATTTAGAGATAAAAAATTTAAGTCTTTGAAAATTTTAGGCTACGTATTATAAAAATTTCATAAATAATTTTTATTTTAAAATATGCCATATAAATTTATTATTTAAAAACTTCTCAAATCATTTTTGCAAAATAATTAAGCAAATAAAAATCCAATAATTCACGCATCTATTTCTAGGCTAGGCGAAATTAAAAAATCTTCACAAAAAAATTCATCTTCCCCATTAAAAATAATTTTTTTAGATCATCAAACAATTCATTTCTTTAATTTTGAAAATATGTCTTTATATCTTCATAATTTTATTAATATTTTAATTTTTTTTCTTTGATAAATGTAATTACGATTTATTTTCTAATTATTCCTAGCCCAACCGTCAGGTAAAAATATTTGGGTTGGGAAATCACGAATAACGAAATGAAAAATGGTAATAAATAAATGGTAAGGTACCCCGAAAGATAGGAAATTATCAGAGTTCAGAAATAAAAATGGAATGCAATATAAGTTTGGGGTTAAGGATAAATAAATTTAAAAAATTATTCTCAATATTATATATTGCCATGGTATCTGAATATATATGTGTATTTTTAATAGAGTTTGACATTTGCTCAGAGAAATAATCTTCAATTTAATCTAAAGATTTTTTGATAATGCTTGAAGAGCATTTTTGATCAAATTTTATCTAAAATTCTATATTTTTTATAGAGAATCTTTTATAAGTAAATAGTTTGTGATTTTTATTCATAAAAATCTTCCATGATGGAATTACAAATTTTGTCGCCTGAGTATAATTTTGCAGGAGAGCAATTTTAAAAATTAAGTTTCTATTGTTTTTAATTGATATTTAACCTTATATTCACTATGATTTAATTTATATATATTTCGAATTTTCTTGTGTAATTAGAATAGTTTAACTTTAAAAATTGATTTATGAAAAAAAGTCATTTTTGACAAAGTGTATATAAAATAATATAAATGTAAAAAAAAAAATTCGATTTTGTTCTTCAAAAATTGTCTCAAAAATTTGGTTGATTGATTTTAATTTGCTAAAAAAAAAATTAGGAAGTTAATTGAAGATTTTTAGAAACATAAAGCAAAAAAATTGAATATACATTTTTAACAATATACAAAATAAAATCAGAAGTGATAACATAAAAAGATTAATATTGTTCGGAGATCGATTGGTAATATCAAAAAATGCTAGATTTATAATAATAAATTGAATAGAGAGTCTTATCTAATTTTTTTTAAAAGAAAGAGAATCAGAGGAATCAAAGATGGTGGTGAATCACATAGTTGAAAATAATAAATTTGTTGGATCACAAATAAATTTTTTCATGCCATGTTAATTTTAGTAATAACCGTTTTGGTAGGGAATTTGGTTAAAATTTATCATATTTTAAAAAATATAATTTATTTTTAAACATAGACCAACTCTGCTAATGTTGTTAAATGCTTACGCTGAGTCGACGTAGCCAATTCTATTTAAGTTTTGAGTCATAGACTCATGAGCAGCGTTATGAGTTGTTTTATAAGTCGGCTCGATGAGTCGAGTAATTACAACAATACACATAAGTTCTAGAATTTCGAATTTAAAAATAATTAATTCGTTGAAATTTTTGAATATTTTCCACTTGGAGTAAATGATAATAGTCTGCCGATTCAAAATATTTGAGACTCATCGAGCAAACTTTGAAGCCGATTCAATGACCAACTCATGCGGCTTAGGGCCACTTAATTAAAAATAATATTTTATGACTCCAAGTCGAGTTCAGGGTTGTAAAACCTCAGTTAAAAAACACCAAAAACTCTAGCCCAGATCTAAGTTTTAACCCATTAATGGTCAAGATTTTTCTAGTGGATAAAAATGCTCAATTTTTTCAAATTATATTGATTAATGCTCAAATATGATATTCTAAAAAAATCAGCCAAAAAAAATAATACTAAATAGAAAATCTAGCCTGATGCATATATGCACCGTTAACCATTAAGAGGTTAAAAAAGATAAAAATTATATAAAATATTATAAGATCAAAAAACAACAAATATCTTTATTCTTTTTTTGTAATTTATAATAAAAACGAGAAAATGTTTATATATTATGAAAATCCTTGAAACATTTAATATGGAATTCGATTTGACATGTTTGGCACATATATCTTGAGTGCGAATGGCAATATCTGCATCTTCGTTTTTTTCCATCTATAATTTTGGATAAATAATGTCCAGATGAATCAATAGGGTTTTCACACTGTAATGCAAACTGGCTGGCGTGACCTGTACTTGAATTTTTTTCAATTTTTAATGGCGTTCGAAGGAGGTAGTTAGTAACTTCTCGTCTAAATGCAAGCAAACTCTTCTTGTCATCTCGATTCACGAATTTCCAGATTTTCCATGAATTTACCAAAGCTACATCAATAAAATTGGTGAATATTGGCCACCACCATTTTTTTCCTCTTATTTTTATTCTATATGTAGATATTAGATTATCACATAGATCAACTCCACCCATGTGTTTGTTATAAGCAGTTACCATATTTGGCTGAGGAATTTTTATTTTAGAAGATATTTTCTTAGAATACCTTGAAACATTAGAAAGCAAAGAGATAGTGTGGCATGTCTATGCAACGGTCACCACCAAATTATCATTCCAACGAACTACAAATATTTCGCATAATTTTTCAAACCTATAATCATAATATCCTCTTTCTTTTTTTGCTACAACCTTTATAGATTCAACTGGGCAATGCTCTATTCTATTGTCCTTCACAGTTCCAGTTGCAAAATATCCCATTTGTTTTAAGTATGACAAGAGTTTAAATGATGAAAAGAAATTATCAAAATATATTTTATGATAATTTGGTTTTTGCAATGCCTTTAATAATTTTATGATTACATTTCCATCTAATTCATATTTATTTTCGCTTTTTCCTTGATATATATCAAATGAGAATACGTAACCGTCGGAAGAAGCAAATATCCAAGACTTGTATCCGAATCTAATTGGTTTTCTATTTATGAACATTTTGCAAGAATGTCTTCCTCGATATGGTATCATCTGTTCATCTATTGATAAATGATGTTTGAAAATTCCGAATTGCTGAAATTTATTATTCAATATATTAATATAAGGCCTAACTTTATAAAATCTATCATGTATATCTATTTTTGTATTGTCTGCCAAATGGATATTATATTTCAAGTTTCGAAATTGTAATTGGGTCATTGTATCCCAGATTATTGGAATAGAAATATCGCTATCATTAGACCAGTACATTCTTTCTTGTGGGAGAGAATGATATCCAGTAAATAATAGAATTCCAATAAATCTCTGAATATCTTGGATGGTTATGCATATGTTAGGTCTATTCATTTGTTTAGCATAAATATTACTTTGTTCTACAATTAGGGAATATAAGTCTTCGTCGAAAATTAATCTGATGGACTTTTACCATGTAAATCATTTTCAAGTTTTATTACATCTTCTTTTTCTCCATTGAAAGGGCTTGAAGAATATATTGCATCCGTTTTTCTCCATTTTAAATTGTGATAAATTCGAGAATAGCTTCTTGTAGAATATGGTTCTGGAAGGTCGTCATCAACTGAATTATGAATCTCCAATTCTCCAGCTGTATCTGAAGGCAAAACTCCGACATTTGTTACGTCATTTTCATCGAAATCTTCTTCATCACTAACTGCAGAGGGGTTTGGCGGAATTATAACCATATCTCTTTCTTCAATTGGTTCCTCTTCAAAAAGTTGAGCAAGCACTTGTTCAATTGTTAGAAAACGTTTCATTAAAAAAATTTATTAAAAATTAAATATCTTTTCGTAGAATCTTGATTTTTTTATTAGTCATCTATTATTTTGATAATTTTGATTGAATTGACAAAACAGGTGCATAATATTTTATATAAATAAAATAAAATCTTCAGAAAGGAAGAGGCTAAAAATAATTTTAAACTTTTGAATATTTATGAACCTAATAATTTCATATAATTTGATCGGGATTAAAAATTATAATAGGAACAATATATTATTCGATTTAATCTCAGGGGGCTAAAAAAAATTTTTAAATTATTTTCAAAAGGTCTTTTTTGGGTATAAAATTTAAAAAAAAAAATTCTTAGGGGGCTCGAGCCACCCACCCCTCCTCCCCCCACCCTTAATGACGGTAGTGGTTTTAAGTATAATATAAAAAAATTATAATTCATTATGTTAAATTTCATTTGTTTGAATTTTTTAAAATAATTTATACTGCTTAATGGTTAACGGTGCATATATGCACCAGTCAACTTTATGTGGTTACCTATTAAAATTTAATTATTTAAAAATTCCAAAATGATTGATAAATATTGATTTATCTATAAAGAATATATACACACTAGTTTTCATCGAAATAATTTTATAATATGCTTGTGAGATCACTTAAAAAATTTTGCATTTTAGACCTCATAAATTCGCAAAGTTTGAGGGTTTCTTAGGAACATAAAAAAATATTTTTTTCATAATTTTCTTTTCCAGTTTTGAAGTACAATGTCTGAACTATATAAAAATCTTTTTTATTATTTTTTAAAATAAAAACTACTAAAGGTATATAGGAGGTGGTGCATATATGCACAGTTAACCAGTAACGGGTTGTGAGCAGGAAAGTTCTGTAATTGATAATTATTTTTTCAATATTTTTGCCCAAAAAAATTGATATTAGACGCAAAGCCTATCAAAATCCCCTCTCTCCCACCATTTTTTTAAATAAATACAAATTGGCAAAAAAAATTCCA